ATGACGCCGTCAAAATTTGTTTTTCGGATTTATTTTTTAATCGTTTTCATTGAATTTGAAATTAAATGAAATTTAATTTTATTAATTAATTAAATAATATTTGGGTTTGATTAAATAGTAGGCTTAGAAAAATTATTTCCCTTAACGGTACTACCACGGACAGTGCCCATTCAAATTTTCAGTCCTCTTATTTCCATTTCATTAATTGTCATACAAATATAAAATAATTTTTTTAAGATCTTTCTTAACAATATTAATGATTTCAAGTTAAAATATTTTCTTTATGATTTGCCAATGTAGTGGTTTGTTAAAATTAAACTTCTATGGAATCTTATAAGAATCATAATTTGGCCAATAAAAGTAATGTTGCAAAAAGCTTGGCAAAATGTGCCATTAACATACATGGAAAAATATTTATTAGAATTGATTCGTGTTAATTATAATAAAAATGTCTGTATTATCAGCAGTTGAGCTTTTCACTACTTAGGTATTTTTATTAAAAATATGTTTATAATTCAATCTGTTATGGCACTCGAATTTTGCAAAATCACAATTCTCAGACTACTATTTCTACAACACAATTTATAGAAGATCTCCCAATTTCGATATAATAAAGCAAAAAATGTAGCGGAAATCATCCGGTTATTGAAACGCTATAGTATCTTTTTTTATGATAACATCTTTTTTAGGACTCTTTCAAAATAAATTCCAAAAATGTGCTTATTTGTTTCACCTGGTCTTTGTGAAACAAATGTGTCTGTTTACAAAACTTTTACAACAGTTTTTAAAATATAAAGCAGCTTCTAGACGCTAATAAATGATTTATTTCATTACATAAAAATTTTCAACCTCCGCCACCTTCCAAGTAGTATCACTGATATTCGTAAAATTTGACTTTTCGATTTTTTGCTTTTTTTATCTTTCTATAACATTTTTTTTAACTTACTTAAAACCGTCGAATTTCAGCTATTATCTTAATGTTTCTTTCAATTATTTTTTTTATCATCCTAAATCTATGCAATAATATTTTTTGGTGTATGAATAAAATTAATTTAAATAATGTAGAATGTTATTAACAGCAGTGTATTTTCACTTATTCCAGATAAATTATTCACTTATTCAACAAAACCATTGATTGAATCAGCCTTATTTGAAATGATTACCGTAAAATTAATTCTAAATTTATTCAAAATTTTATTATAATAATAAGAAAATTATTTCTATAGAACATCGTTTTAATCATTTACACCTAAAACTATATAAGTGTCCCAGATTTAAATTTTTAAAAGGAAATGTGCTTTTTTGCAAAGGATTTCTGACTGAAACCGCTTTCTATATTCATATACTCTTTATTTTAATTCCGATAAGATTGTGTTCTACATTTTTATTTTCAATTTAATATAATATTTCATTTTTTTTTCTTTTGGGAAAATTTTCTAACCAAAACAGGTGAAAATTTCAACATTATATTTATTTTTTTCTTTCTAATTATGAACCATGAAGGTTTTTATTTTATTTCATTTCTTCTTTTCGCTCGACAACAAAAATATAATTTTCTTCTGCATGCATTTACAACAAAGAAATTTTTAAGACTTATAAATTGAATGAACATTTTAAATAGTGTGCGAATATTAAGGGCTCAAATACCATAATAATATTATTTTTTCATATTATAATGAATGAAATGAAATTGTCAAAAACATAATAAGAAAAGGAAAACCATAATATAATAATAATTATTTCATATATTAAATGTTAACTCATAAATTATTCAAAAAATTTAATTCAAAAATAAAACTATAAACAAATTAAATTATTTTTAGTAATAACGAAATGTATACAGGGTAACATTGAATGTTATAAGAAGAACGTTATAGGAAGATGATTTGGGAAGGTTGTTCTCGAAATATAGAATCATAATTTTCTTAAAATTTAATGGAATTAAGCAGATACATAAATATTTTTATATTTATGTACAAGTGGAACCAAGAATTCATTTAGAGGTATTTAGAGATAATCGTGAGTATTTTAACCACGAAAAATTAAAACATTAGTTTTAAAAATAAAAAATTCGAATAATATGGAAAAAAAATTATTAAAATGCTTAAAAACCAATAAAAATTATTTGAAGTGGACAAATTATCTCAGTTTCTTTCATGGGCCAGTAGTTTTGTTGAAACGAAAATTTTATACAGTAATTATACAAGGTGATTAATTATTAATAAGTGATTTGCCATCCATACTTATTGTACCATCATTTGCAACCTTTAAAATGAATTAAAATTTTATTAAAATGTTAAATTTTAATTTCAGCCAAGGTAGAGCAATTTTAGGAAAATTTTACAAAATTTCCAATTTTTCGAATTTTCAATGTTTTTTTTTTATTATCAATTTTATTCTAAGAAAGACGGTAATTTCGTGTACAAAAAATTTTTCGGAACAGCCAATAATAGGTTTGAAATTTAAATATTATTTTACGATCTGCTTTATCATAACGATAAAAATAATAAGAAATTTTGCATTTTTATACAATTTTTAGAAATTTCCAAAAGTTTATTTATGAAATTTGTTTAGCAGTTATATAAACTTTCAGATATTTTCAGATATAAAATGTAAAATTATCATTTATGGTTCAAATTATAGGAAAACAAGCATATTTTATTCAAAGTATTTTAAGTCAAATTTTCATTGAAAATCATCAAATCCTAGCACTCCATATTGATTTAATCGAAAAATAGAATTTAGTATTAAATATACGAGCTCTTGTTGAATCGAACAAAAATTCTACGAAAACAAAATTTAAGAAAAATAAAGTATTTTTTTTTTTTTTTTAAAATCAATATAAAGGGTTTCGCATACGGGAATAACAGAAAAAAGGAGGATATTTGAAATAAAATATCAAAAGAAATTTTAACACCTTTGTTAAAATTTTTAAACCGAAAAATATCTTGTTTCTTTTTTCGAAATATCAATATAGATATATTGAGAAGTACAACGAGAAAATAGAATTCATTAAATCAAAAATTGTCAAAACAGTGTTTTTTTTAACAAACAATATAGTCTGAGTTTATAACCAACTATCTTGAAAACTGAACAATTTTTTAAGATAAAGCTTTTTCAGAATTAAAGTTACATAATATATACATATATATACAAAAATTTGGATAAATAGAAATTTTAAAGAATTATTTTAAAATCTCTTTATTGCGGAATAGCGAATTTATTTAATGCGCGAAATGATGATGATGCACTTGTAAGACACCATATTGTTATGTTAAAGTTATGTAAACGCAACTCATCGCAGAATAAAACCTAAGTTACATAAGTTAAACTAAATCTCATTTTAATTATATTTCAATATAATTAAAATGAGATTTAGTATTTCAATATTTCAATATTTTTCATTTAATTATATTTCAAACTCAGAAAATTCTTATTTTTTCAACACTTTCAAATTTTTAGGCTACAGTTTCCCGGTTTTTCTTATAATATAGTCCAGATACCTATCTGAAAAATTAGTGAACTTTCTTACTTTTTGTTTTCTTTTTTCACTGACTTTTACTCTTACAACAATTTGTAAAATGTCGCCTGATTGAATTAAGTTCTTCAACATACTTGCGAATTTATAAGCACGAGTGATAGACAGTAATAAAAATACAATATAAAAATTAATTTAGTATTCAAATAAAATTAATTAATTATAATTAATATTATAAGCAAAAGTTTAATTATCTCGTGATAAATTCAATATTTTTATTAAAGACAAAAATTTAATTGCAATTAATTCATCAAAAAAATATTTTCTAGGAACTATTTTTATAACTCATCCTGCCAAATGTTAAAAGCGAGAAACATTATTAATAAACTGAATGCCAATTAATATTCTGAATTATAAAATTTTTCTAACCCATGATTTACCCTTTATTATTTTTTTTATTTTCAGGATTAATTTTAGAGGCGGAAAATTATTTTTGATGTATACTTTTTTATATACAAGTATATTATGCATGCTTTAACATTAATGATTACAAAATGTTAAAAATGGAAATGTCTCATATCAAAAATATCCAATGTCATTTCCTAAAAAGAAACAAAAAATCATACACAAATTATATACAATTTTCCATTTTATCGACTTCAAAGGGATTTCTTTTTTTTTTGAATATATTCGCATGTATTCGCGTGTACTCGCATTATTTCTTGGTATTTTATTCATAAACATATGCATTTAAATATATATACACATTATTATTTGTTTGGATGTACATAGGAATAAATTCTATGAATTTGAATAAGTATGACATGTTATATGTAAAAATGTATATAATAAGCAATCTACAAGTATAACATTTTAGAATATAAATATAGTGTTTAAGTACCTCATTTGAGTCTCAAACAAATTTGGAATATCATAAAGAGAATTTATTTTTTTTTATTGTTTTTCTACTTTTACACCTATTTAATTTCAGTCTAACTGATTTTTCCGCTAACTTCTTGCTACTTTTTTTATTTTTTTTTGTATAAAAAACCATGAAATAAATTTAAAGACTTTGATTTTTTTTATGTTTTTTTCATCAAATCCTAAATACATACATACATATATAGAATGATCAAGGAAAATGATTTGCCTAAAATAAAACAATTTCCAAAAAATTTTTCTTTTGCTTCCTTTTTATGTATTTTTTTTTTTATAGAATTCACTAAGGAAGTGTTTTAATTTAAAACCTTTATTTGCACTTTCTAATACTCTTTATCTTATATTTGAATTTTATATTTTCACATATTTTGTGTATTTACATATGCACACACGCGCACATATACTAGAATACACAAATAAATTAAATTTAAAATAGAAATTATTTGATTTTGAATGATAAAACAAAATTTAATATCGAAATGATTTGGAAAGAAAAGGAGGAAAAAAATTTAAAATATTATTGATTTTTTTTAAGAAAAATAATATTTTTGAAAATTAAATAAAATATTTAACAAGGACTTACCGCTTTAATCCAATTATTCCAACAAAATTGAAATTCTTCTCTATCAATATGTCCGTCACCGTTTTGATCGAATACTGCAAACATTTGATCAAGCCATTCTTTAGATACTTCATAAATATGACCGCGATCATTACGGAATAAAGCCCGACATATTAATGCAAATTCACATATTGATAGACGATCATCACTGTTTAAAAAATAACAAAAAAGCATTTAAAAATTGTACTAATTAAAAATTTTATTTAAAATTTATTTTTTTGTTTTGGATATTATTGCCTACCCACTGATTATACCGGTTTTAATGGAATGTACAAATTTAGACTCTTTGACAGAGCAAAACCAATAAAAACCGTTTAATAAATAAATAAAATCCGTATGGTCAAATTTACTCTTGAAGATTCTCAGTACAGCACTCTTGAAGATTCTTACAGTTTCTAGTTTTTCCAATTTTTTGACCAACAGTTCATTTTGCCATGCCAATTTAAAATAAATCTCTTGAATAAATATTTTAAACCATTTTGAAAGAGATTTCATGAAGAAATGAAATTAGACATCATCTAAAGACCAAATGCTTCATGAAAACGAATTTTGTTATCGTATATGTACATACATGTACATTACATAATATCAACCGTATACCCCAAGAGTAAGTAATCAGCACGAATAAAAGAATTAATTTTCACATGCAAAGCAATTTAAATATGGACGAAAATGAGCTCGAACAACTAGCAAGGGACATAAGTCACTTGTATGACCATCGGCTTGCATTACCTCATTTCATGATCAACTTGCAAGACCAATATGCAATGCCAAAATGTATAACCATCTTGCACACTTAAATGACAAATCAACATAACGAACATGCATGACCAACTTGGATTAGGTAATTGTATGATCACCTTGCATGACCGTTAAAAATGACAAAATTGCATAACCTATGTGGTTGCATAACTAACTTGCATGTACCCTATGTACTTAAATGAATAACCGACACAACCAATATATGCATGATAAACTTGCATGAGCAATATGCAAAATAACCTATGTACTTGCATAATAAACTTGCATGAGCAATATGCATGACAAACATGCATGACCGATGTAAAATTATGTCGATGTAAAAAGATAAATTATCAGAATTATACTTTTACTCAGGGCTGATTTCCCGATATCCCCCGATTGATGTTGCCAAGAATTCTCGTACAATATCCGGGCTATATAAATACAGGATGATAGGGCACTATAATGGACATAAACACACAGCTACACATTTATTTATTTTTATACACTTGGTCCGGAGACCAGAATTAGTGTCAAAGCACTCAAAACTGATCGGTAGCTTATATTACTTAGCTTAAGTTTCTTATTAACTTAAATTTATAAAAGATAACATTATTGAAAATTTACAAGAATATCAGCATAGCAATATTTAAATACGGAAAAATTATGCTTTTGTGGTAAAAATGTGACATCAAATTTAATAATATTTTGTGTTTCAATTAATTAATATAGGAAATTTCTAATATTTTGCAATATTACCATTTTGTCAAAGAAAAATATGTTGTAAAATGTAAACTATAATATACTTTCTTGGTTGGTAGAAATGTCAACGACAGATTTCTTACCTCAATACTAAAGATAATTAATGAGCAAGGAGGTCCAAAGTACCACACAAAGGAGTTTTCTCAAGAAATATTTTAAAAGAAAAGTCTAATATGGATCTGATAAAACTGAAAATCTTTTTTAAGGATATCACAAGATCACACCGACATCACATTTTTGACACTTAAAAGTTTACATGTCAATTAACTTCTTTTTTTTCTTACATTACCTTTAGAAGGTATATAGAATATTCGAACGAATTTATGAAAAATAATTTGTATATGGAAACATATTATAAGAATTATAACAAAGTATAAGTCGGGAATTAGAAAATCCTTGAAATTCTCAATTATTATAATTATAATATAATTTCTTTTAACAGTGTTATCTTCATATATGTATGTTTATACAATTTTCATTTATATTTTAACATATATGTTCAAAAATTGTTTATTCCTCAAGTTATTTCAGTCTAAAAATAATTCTATATACGAGAATAAATATGCTATATTAATTTCTAGAAATTAGGAAATAAAGGATAAACATTCAATTAGTATCTTACTTATTAAATATACTTATCGCAAAGTTGGTTCATATGCACATATATTTATACATATATATAGGTATATAAATATAATTTAATATAGAATGTATGTATGTAGTATAGCACATAGCAAAATGTATGAGTATAGAATCTTTATTTAGATTTTAATATTAAAATTTATTTTTATATATAAAATAATAGGCTATTATTATAGTATAAACATACATACATAAATAAAAGCAAAAAAAAATACGCCTTCTTAAGGATTTCATTTGAAGGATTCACGGCAAATTAATACAACCAATTATAACATAAAAATATAAATATGTGATAAAAAGTGGGAAGAAAAAAAAATATGTCATTAAAAAGTATCATTGACATTTTATTATTTTTGTGTTATAAAAGAGAAAATAATATAAAAATTGAGAGAATAACAATATTTTATGAAACTTACCCATCTTTATCGAAAGCAGTAAAGCATGCATCCATTTCTGCATTAAAATTTTTGTTGTCGTCGTCGTCGTTGTCGTCGCCGTTGTCAGCTCTTTGATTTTCTATTTGAGAATTTTGTTTCGACAATAAATGATTTTCCTTTTTATGATCTTCTTTTTTCTCTTCTCTACCAAATTGATTTTTTTTACGTAATAATTTATAAAAATAATTTAATAAATTTTCTTCTATTAATTCTTTTTGGTTTTTTTCAATTTGATCTTCTTCTACATTTGTATTATACAATAATTTCAATTTATTATTTTTATTAGAATTATCATCACTCACACCAGTATTATTAATTGTTACACAATAATCATTAATAATTGTTGAATTATTTTTTAATCCATAATTATTCGACGGCAAAATTTTCGTATTATTATTGTCCATTACCAGTGTACGCCGAATTTTAACTGCGGGAGATGACTGCACATTTATATTTTATCCGATTTTGTTTTTTATTTTTTCACAATTACGGTGATGGAGTAATCGCAATCATAAAAAAAAAATTAAAAAAAAAAATATATATGAAGTTATCGTTAGTTAAAATAGCACACACTTGCAATCTTTATTGTAAAATTTAAAAAAAAATGTAATAATAATAAAAATAGTAAAAAAAAAGGATAATGTTCTCTTATATATATTAAATTTTATTTTATATAGTTATGTAGGTTTGTTTTTTTTTTTTAAATTTTTATATTTTTTGCACTTTTGCGGGACTAAATTATATATATATATATTATATTTTTTTTTCGAAATTATAATGAAGAGAAAAACAGTATGTATTTTTTTTTTATCGAAATAACAAACTTCTATTAATTTTTTATTGAGTTTCAATAACGACGAAGTACCATGGTTACTCATTTCACATTTACAATCATATTTTTATATACATAATATATAATATATACACATACATGTACCATGATATGAATATTTTTTTTCATATTATATCTGAATGGTTTAGTGGGAAAATTTAGTTAACAAAAAAAGGGTTCGAGCACAATGTCTTAAAAATTAAAAGAAAGAAAAAATTTCCGAATTTTACTCGGTTGATGCCCATGAAAGTAATTAATTTGAATTAATTTTGTGCTAAATACTAATAATATTGTTGTCTCTTAAAATTGAACATATTTACATAACATGTAGGCTTTGAATGTAAGAATAGGCCGTCTTTTATGATTTCCACAGTAGTAGGTGGAGAGAAGTCTAAGAAGCACAAAGTAAATAGTGTACATACTCTCAACCCATTAAATAAGATTATTCAATAAATCAATTATTACTTTTATGCATTTGTTGAAAATAATTCGAAATTTTCGCCAGTCTCTTTTTATACCCGTACGAACGTATGTTAGAAGGTATACTAAATTTGCCTTACCATTTGTAACGCTAAGAAATAACGGTCTGAGATATAGACTCAAGTATATGTTTTTAATTAGCGTCAAATTCTGAGTCGATTTAGCTTTGTCTATCCATCTGCCCGTCCCAACGATAAATCAAAAACTAATTGAACTAAGTTCACAAAATTTTCACAAAATGATTTACTATAGTAACTGCCAGAACCTTATTTAAATTGGATATTATCGAAGTAGTGGTTCGGGTAGTTGCCGTACAACTTCAAAATTTATTTGGCTATATCTCAGAAACTATAAAAAAAGCTGTAGTATTGAAATATTACTCAAACGAATGTATTAATAGGACCAATATGTTTGATAAAAATCGTTAAAATTTCTCGACTCCTTGTGGTAGCTGCCATACTGAGCAGAGTACTGAGAAAGTGAGAATTAATATAGTAATACGGCAACTGAAAGTCATAGTCTATTCCACAGTCAGTTATGGCATTTACTCGCACATAGGATATCAAACTCGTACGGGTATCACAGAGTTGACATACTCTATTTTTTCTTATTTTTTATATTATTTATATTTAAAATGATTTTTTTAGTTAAGATTTTGTTTTTTAAGAATTTTTTCTTATATCCAATTCGCACAGTTTTTATGTATATGTATACGTACAAACTTACACATTTATATCCGTTAAATAAAAATGATAGTCATGAATTTAGTTACAGCATAATTTAGACAATATTAGAAATTACTTATTTAATCACTATTTCTTCGTTATTCTTGTTGACTCTTTATTATACTAAATAATCTTGGTATTATAAACAAAGATTTGGGCGGTTTTTTTCATTTCATTCCAACAACAACATTCAATATGAAAATTGAGCGCTTTAACTAAATATATAAAGCTCTAGTTAAATTCTTGATGCTATAATTATCTAGCTCCAGTTGATTTTCATTTGAAATTTATGTACTGTATGTCGTGGTCAATAACTATTATCAAGAAACTTGGATTCATTCAACATTTTTTATATTTATCTTCAGTATGATAATATAGCAATATATGGTAGGTCGCATAGGATCTCATATTTAAACGCCTCTCTGTTGCTCTGTATCGTACAGCAAAAAAAAATACCATTCGAACAATATAAGATTTTGTTATATGTTCATACATTACTTTTAAAGCATATATGAGCTAATTTTTTTTGAAAGTGGTATAAGTCAATTTTTCATATATTAAGCTATTTAAGGGTTTCCGTTTGAATCAATATGCGATGGCATTCTACAGCAAAATCGCTTTTGTTTATTTTATGTCTAAATAGAGCACTATCGAAATTGTAATTGTAACTGCGCAGAGAAGGTGCCTACAGCTCATCAAAATTACCATTAATTAGTAGTTGTAGTAAACCATTAGTAGTAAAGTTGTATAAGTCCACTTTTTAAAAAGTGGACTTATACAACTTTAAAAAAAAAAATAGTTCACATAATAGAATACTTTAATTTTATCAAATTAAGTTCAGTAAGCCAAAATCGCCTGTCGGCATATAAAATAATAAAATCTTGATTTGTGTACCAGACTGCGAGTAGTTCAATTTCCTTTCATTATTATTTTTTTTTATGCTTTTTTTGTTTTTGCTGTTTATTTTTTTATCTAACCACACAACCTTTTGATTAAAATCAAAAAACTGTTATACAAAACTTACACTTTTTGTTATGCTCCTTTACACTGACAGCTAATAAACTCTTTATATTGTATATAAAATTAAAAAGTTATGAAAACCCTTCAGAAATCACGAAATGATAAGCGCCTTTTTTGAAAAATTTCACTTTTCCTTTTATTTATTATAGTTTTATTATGTTTTGTTATACGTTTATAAAATTTGAAAGTTTGACGTCAGCTAATTTAAATAAAAATTAAAAAAGTATATAAAATTAACTAATTAAAAAATAAAAAATAAATTTTTATAAAAAAAAATAAAGTTTTTGGAAATGGCATAAACTTTGATATTTCATGTTAAATTTTACTTGGCATATTTCTTTAGGATTCTTATCGTATAAGTTTCTTGTATATTTTGAAATAAAATTATTTAAAATTATACAAGTATGTAAGCATGTTAATATTAATATAATTTGGTGTATTCAATAAAATATTAAAATGAACATATTTCCGCTGATGTACGCTAAAACCGTTCTCAAAATGATCATACCTTCGAAAACATTCAAAATTATTTAGCACTTTCGAAATTTCGTACACTTAAAGTCTTAATTTCTATAACTTCTGTTAGAAAGAACTATTTATATTTGTGAAACTTTCCTATATCTATTTGGAATTTTTATTATTTTGTCGCTATTTTGAAAATTGACATTTTTGCACAAAATGCAATTCTCAATTACACAAATAAATTATTGTTAAGCGATCAATGCAATCAAAATGATTAGAAAACACTTACCTTAAATATTATTTAAAAATTAAAAACAAATACTAAAATTATGTTGAGAAATAAATATATCAACGATCAACACTCAAGTTCGAACATCAACTAAAAAAAAAAATCTGATGTGGTCAGCACATAACCGACCGCAATGTGTATTGTCTAGTTAAGTGAAAGTGTTACATAATATAATAAAAATGTCTGTTAAATACTTCTTTCCAATTTTTAGGACATTAGTAAGCTTATAGTTAACATACTTAGAAAAATGTAAATTTGGCTCTTATTAGAGTTTCGCTTTGTGCTACCCGAATTCCCTGAAATGCTCGCCAGTTAGTTTCGGTAACAACCAGAACTCAAATATCAAATTTCAAGAAATTTCATCAATTTGTTCTGTGGATATGGTGAAAAATGTAAAATCGGCCCGCAAATCAGTTCTCGAGCCCTGATCTTTCCAAAAAAGTTATATGTTCATTGCTTTAATATGAGGAGTTCATATATTAAATTTCAATAAAATCGGTTGATTATTTCTCTTTATATACACAAAAATGTATATTTGGCCCGTAGTAAACGTCTAGTTGCCGATGCCTGATTTCTTCCCAAAGGTAGGAATTTTTGCGTATGATCGAGCAAAGCTTATATATGAAATTTCAAGTAAATCGGTTGAATACTTTCTTCAAAATGGTGAAAAATGTAAAATCGGCCCGCAAATCCGTTTTCGAGCCCTGATCTTTCCAAAAAATTTATATGTTCATTGTTTTAATACGAGGAGTTCATATATTAAATTTCAATAAAATCGGTTGATTATTTCTCTTTATATACACAAAAATGTATATTTGGCCCGTAGTAAACGTCTAGTTGCCGATGCCTGATTTCTTCCAAAACATACTAATTTTTGCGGACAGTCGAGCTGAGCTTATATATAAAATTTCAAGTAAATCGGTTGAATATTTTCTTCAAAATGTTCAAAAATGTAAAACAGGCCCGCTAAAAAGTGCAGTTCCCGAGGCCTGATATATACCAAAAGTTGATCGATCCGTGCCATGGTGGAAACAAACTTACATATAAAATTTCATCAAAATCGGTTCAGCCGAACTTGAGATACACGCGTGCACACACAGACCGACAGACCGACAGACCGACAGACCGACAGACCGACAGACCGACAGACCGACAGACCGACAGGTTGCTAAAAATAGTTTATTTACACTTCCCTACTATGGAGAAGTACGTTCCCACCGAAAACTCGATATGCAAAATTTGTTGCCATCACATAACCTACCTATTGTTTACACAATACGATCGGTAAAAATTGATTTTTTGTATAAAAACAAAAAAGCTTTTGCAGATTATTTAAAGTTCGGGGAGTTCCAGAACAATTAACAATAAAACTATTATTATGTGTAATAGTTAGAGCTGCCAGATAATACCGGGAAGTACTCGAAAAATAAAAGACAAATAATACTGTCTTTGCATTTTACGATATTTTGTTTTTGCGGTAATTCTTCATTCTTTAGTGTTTATTGTATTGAAAACATTTTTAATTGTGAATAGTTTTTTTTATTCAGGTCAATGCAATAACTAAAATTAACTTACTCACCGGTTCTCTCCATTTCGTTTGTAAATTCACACTTCAAAATTCATTTTAAATATGCTATTAAAATTTTGTCAGAGTGTGCCTTGAATCGGCAATATATTCTTCGTCAGGAGATGAGTTAGAACACTTATTGTACATGTTTTTTTTTCCCATACCTCTTGAAGATTGAAAAACTGATAATAATATTAATTCCGAGAGCTGACTATATATTTTTGCATCTAAATATCAAAATTTTTATCCATATGTCTATAAAATCACAAAGCGATTTGGAAACGACTACTTTAACATGCCACCGTGAAAAGGAAATCGAGTAATTAATAAACAGAAGGAATGAGGCAATATCTTTTCATTATACTAACGCAATAATATTGCTTATCTGAATTAAAAATAGAAAGTATACATAAAATTATTGCAAATTAAAATATACGTACAAGCATACACACATAAAATATACATTCATTCGCTTATCACCTCACTGAAATTCTAAAATATCAATTTATATACAACATATGTATGTCTATTGTATAAGTAAACAAACAATGCTTCATTTGTAATAAAAAGAAAAAAGAAAACATAATTTTAATAAAGTTAGGTCAAACCAATGGTTTGTATTGTAGCACTTTTCTCTTCAGCAAGTCGTGTAAATACTGCTTCTAAAATCTAGGTAAACCACCACTAAACTACTTACTACTACACTATTAAAATTACTTTTATGCATATACGTAAAGTATTTCATTAAAGATTGCATATATTTAGGATGAGCGATTTATGCAGTCTTTGAAATAAAGCAAAAATAAATTTAAACATAATGGCCGATTTTAAGGGTTAATTGCGTGAGTTAAGAAAAATAATTATATTTTTTAATGCCATGGAATCTACCGTTAGCTTTCTACCTTTATAGAAATTTGATAAAGCCTGCGGTTTCGGAAATATAAGATCCCAAAAATTCAAATTTTACAAATTTCGAAGGGCAATAACTTGAGAGCGGGTGGAGCTGGGAAAAACGGCCGGGCGAACAGAATGGAAATAAGCTTTTTTTTGAAAACTTTTTTAAAAATTTTAAGCTAAAAAAAAGCTTTGAGAAATTTTTTACTTCTATGGTTTATTGAAAGAAATAATGATGACGCTGAAAATATTTAATCCGTTTCTGAAGTTTACGTTTATTAAACTTAAAATAATTTTAAAGTTTATCGTACTACATCTAAGTGGGTTATCAAATGCATTAATAATCAAATGTAGTTAATGGACTTGAAAAAACAAATTGTCATATAATATCGACAATCAATCAATGAATATGTGGCATACTGTTTGAAAAACAGAAATTGTGTAACTTTTTATCAGTATATTTAAAAAAAATCATTGTATATATTACATGTGTATGCATTGTATATATTATGTTATATAATTATGTCTGTTCATATTTATGACAATACCATAATTTTTGTTTATTTGAACATAATTTATAAAATGAAGTTTTTAAGGTCCTAAAATTTGAAAGTTTTATTATTTATCGAAAGATCACTATATATTGTATAATAGTTATGAGTCATTGACCATGTTACGGTAGCGCTTACTATTTACTGTAATGGGAACTGTTGTCCATATTTTTAGATAAATAAGTTCTGGCAATGCCAGCAATATGTAAATTATATTAAATGTTTCATAGTCGGCTTATTAATAAGCCGTTTAAAGCGAAAATTAATTTCATTTATGGTGACAAATCATTGACAAAGTAAATTGAACATGAAATATTGAGTGCAGTAGGACATCTCGTTTGGGAATAAACCGTTTCGTTAGTTCTATCTTAGGAAATAACACCTTTAATTTCATGTACCCCCACATAATTATATTTTAGTAATAATTATTATTTAATTTCATGACCAATTAACTTAAAGTGAATTAAATTTAATTTGAGCATTTTGTTTTTTTCATTTTAATTCTATAAAGCTTTTGGAATTGTATTATGGTAATTCTCTATTATTTTGTAAATATAAAGTGCTTAAACAGCTTTATTACATAACTTAGGTAATCTTATTTTGTCTATTGGTAATAAAATATTCAAATGTAATTTTTAAAAACCAAAAAAAAAAAAAAAAAAAATTAAAAAATAGCGTAAAAAATTTTTGTTTTTATATTTTTATTTTTTTACCGACCATATTGTATAAAATAAGTGGAGTTATGTGATGGCACCAAATTTCGCATATCGACTGGACTTCTCCGTGGCAACAAATTTCGCAAGGAAATGCACTGTTCCGTGGTAGGGGAGCGTAAGTGAACTGTTTTTAGAAAAATGTCTATACATCTGTCACTCTGTCTGTCCAGATAAAATTTTTAGTTCTACTTTGGTTATGTAACGAATTGACTAAATTTTGGGATATGTCAGGTCTCGGGAACTGGATCTTTACTACTGACCGATTTTATTTTTTTTTAATTTTTAAAAAAATATCCAACAAATTAACTTGAAAATTTATATGTAAGCTTCGTTTGATCTAATATTTGGACGAAGTCACTTGCCTTGATATTTTATATTCATTTTAGAAAGAGTGGACTTATAAAATTTTAGGGAACATCAGAGCTCGAAAACTTAATTAGGATCCGATTTTTCATTTTTTCATGTAATTAACTAATTGGAAGAATTTGTTGAAATTTAATATTTGAATTCAGTTTACTATTTAGTAAAATAATAAATTGACGACCTTTCCGGGGCTTCGGATAAAGTGCATAAAATAAGAACCAAATTGATATTTTTCTAGTCATGTTAACTAACAGTTTAGTAGGATTCTTAAAATTTGAAAACCTTTTGTTAATCTTATGAAATGTTTTCCCTGAACTAGATAATAGACATTGTGGTCGGTTATGTGCTGACCACATCAGATTTTTTTTTTACTGAATTCCTGAATATTAAATTTTACTTTTTTTTTTTATATAAAATTTTATTAAAAACTTCGAATGTTGATTTGAATTTAAGATGAATTTTTTATAAATGGTTAAAAACTCGGTTTGGCATAGCTTTAAAAACAAAGAGAAATAAAAGACAGAATTTATAATTCAATTAAAATTCGATATATGCGCATATACTACAATTATAAGCGCTTGATAAACATCTTTTAGGATTTGTATCACATCAAAAATAAACAGAATCCACGCTTTTTTAATTTTGATTCTATGATTTTATCTTGAAAACAAGATTTCGAAATAAAATTTGGATCAGGTGTATTTTCAAAAGAAAATGTAAAAAACAAAACCACAGTCTTCTGCTATTTATTAGCAGCAATTTAACTTTATTATTAGCAATTTAAACGATTTTTCTCCGTTTTACTGGAAATTTTTTATAACAGAAGAGTTTCTTTGCTCATATTCGTTTTCATACAAACGAGGTCAGGTATAAGCAGAAAATTCGCTTCTAAGCACAAAAAATGTCTTGGCTTGAGACCTATGTGTTTAAAAGCGTGTAAATTTGAGATAGAATAATAGAAATGTGTATAATATTAT